TATATTGCAGATTGGCTGAACTTTCTCTATTTGTGACTTTGTGGGTTACGTCTTAGCATGCTCTTTTCGAGGCACTGTAAAAATTTGATAAGTGCGGTTTTACAAAATGATAAATCATATATGTATCTATCCAAATGGTCAGATTCTGGAAAAGAATACTTTCGCACATGTCCGACTGGCTCCTCACTGTGACAGGCGTCAATACTTGCCGATTCAGCGTTACTTCACTTGTGCATTGACTTTGTGTTGTTTTTCTTTTAAGTTGGAGAGATAAACTCCACTGATGACAGGCAACAAAGGGCTCCATACTCCGTTCTCTCGTCAAATATTTACCATGGAAGTGAAGCCGCTATTCAACTACGCTGTGTACAAAGACATCGACTCTCCGCGGAAAAAGAACGAAAGCATATACGTCAATCAACTTTTTTCTTTCTCTCTGTGAATGATTCAGCGACAGAAGAAACATACTGTATCATTACTAAAGAATAAAATCAGGGCTCATTGTATTTTGTCGAGCTTTTTTGAATACATAAATATTCATTATAGACTTCTTGACCGATTGGTTATCAATGGTGAGAAAAATAAACTTGAGTTAAAAATTAAATGCTAATGTCTACTTTTGTAACAGATTGTGACAATGGAAGAGACGTTTGACAAGACAAGTAACACTTTAACGGTGAAGTGGAATGCCATTAATTTTAGATCCATAAAGGAAGTGGTTATTTGCTCGGACATTTTTTCTAGGTCTTTCTTTCCTAAAATATTTTGGACCATGAAATTTTATCCTCGTGTTAACAAAACCAATGTCACTAGTATTTCTAACCGTGGAGACAGTTGTGGAGTTGTACTTTGTGCAGAAGGCAACTTATTTGCAAATTATGGGTTGAATTTTGGCTCAGGTCTCCGAGTAAACCTAACGAGTCATTATTTCTGTGTTGAAAGTTCCAAGGGTAAGATGTATACTGTTGGGCACTGCAACATATCTTGAAATGACATTCTAATCATCTGCACAATTACAATTCCGTTCGACTCGTACATCGGTGGTCAGAGATTAAACACATTTCAGTATTGGCGCAAAGTTCTAGACAGCCAAAAGCATTGTGACTTTGTTATCAACGTCCAAGACAAATCTTTTAATGTTCACAAATGTGTCTTATCTACTCACTGGCCACACTTTGTCACTTTATTTGAGTCCGGAATGTTTGAGGCTAACAGTGGAACGTTAACAATCGAAGACCAAGAGGCTGATGTTATTGAGACGATGATTGATTACATCTATACTGGTACTTCTAACGTTACAGACGTTAATCTAGCTCTGCAACTCATAACCGTTTCTGACAAGTACAACTTGCCTGATCTCAAAGCAACGTCCTTAAAGTTTGTAATTGCAAAGATGAACAAATATTGTGTCATCAAAGCTCTCTTCAAGGCCAAACTTCATGGACTAGATGATTTATTCCAGTCCTGCATTAATTTTCTGAAAAACGACACAACTGTAATCAACGCTCTCCCAAATTATGATTTACTGGTGAGGTCGAAGGACGGATTTGAACTTCTCGCTCTCTGCCTTGATAATGTTCGCGGCATGAAACGTAAATTGGAAGAACTCAATGATCAAAATGAACTTTTTGCTTTGAAAACCGAACACATTCATTTTAACTCTTTAAATTAAACTACATTTCTTTGAAATTTTCTGATACATTATTGTTTTGTTCAGGTTTACTTATTTACCTATTGAATAACTATCGTAAACAGGTGTAAGTAATTATAGCAAATAGTTTGCAGCATACCTTTATTGATACCGGTTATATGACGTTTGATATTATTGAAATAACGACAGTAGAAATCAACAACAAGTGAAGAAAATTACATTTTATTAATTTTCTATTTTTCAATTGTTTCGTGCTATGGGTATCTAATTATATTTAATTTTGTCATTTTCAGTCGAGAAAAATGAAAAATTCTATTCGTTCAATATTCTATATCAAGCACAGAAATTTCTTCATCGATGCCAGTAAGAAATGCTTTTGATTTGTTTCTTAGTAAAAACCATCTGTTAGTCTGAAAGAATATTAATATAGTTTCAACTTAAAGAGAACAATCAAAAATATTAGTGCCTAAAATGCTTCTTTTTACAAGAATGTTTTCGCAGTTGTATTTAAAAATGGGTTTTTGTGCGTGCCATCAAAGTCTTTTCACATGAGTGTGTTCCGAATAGAATTAAGAGTTTTTGTAATCGTTGGTCTTCTTTTTAGGGAAATAAACATGACAACACTTTAATCATTTTCTATTAGACACCAATATTCATCAATGATATACTGTTTTGTATTCAATTTTCATAATCACTTTGGGTATGGCTTTTCTTCAAATATTTATCAAGAATAAGTATTATAGTGAAAATAAAACGTTTGGTATATTTTTTGGATACCAACAAATGTAGATGGCGACTCTAAGAGTGCTAAATGATGATGTGCGTAGAATGACTTAAATGGGCCCGTTTTATTTTCAACTTCACAGTCTACTTTCCATGTGTATCTTTTATATAATCCCCTTGCCAGTAGAGTTCATCGGATGTGGATGTGTGAGTATAGTTGTACGTGTGGGTGTGTGTATTTTTTATTTGCACGCTGAGAGCGCACAAACACCCACCCACACCCACACTCATCCACACCCACACCAACCCACATCCACACCCACACCCACACCCACACACCCACACTCATCCACACCCACACCCACACACCCACACTCATCCACACCCACACCCACCCACATCCACACCAACACCAACACTCACACACCCACACCCAC